CCAGGCACTGTGCTAAACTATATAGACACACATACATATATATACACATATATATGCATCTATATACATATATTGGTGTGTATACATACACACATATCAATATTTCATGCCTGATTATCCTATTTTCTCAATAGTAGTCTTATAAAATGTGGTGTTAGAACTTTGAAAAGTGGGTTTTCTATCCATTCCAAATCAATAGTACATAATGATAATATCTTTTTTGCTGTTATGGTACTCTGGAATTCCAAAATTTCCAGTGTTAGATTTCTTAATTGAGTATCATATTTCCTCTCAAAATGTTTCGCTTTTTCCTTTTAAGATTGTTTAAGAGTGATAGATTTCATTATTTTAACTTCAGTTTTACTTATTCTCTTTCATCTGTACATTTTGATTATTGAGTGCTTCCTTGCTTTTTCTAATTTCATAATTTGTTTCTTCAGTTGAAATAATGCTATTACTTTTTATTATTTTGTCTTTATCATAATTGTTTAGACTTTTATATTATGCCTCCATTTGTTTCCCAGTTTCTACTAGTTGTGGTTTTTCTTTGTTTTTCTATTTGCTATTTTAAAAGGATTTTTTTTTTATACCACAGTCTGGAAATATTCTTTGTATTAGCCTCTCCTCTATTGGAGGACTGTCATTTTTTTTATATTGTCTTTTTTTTTAAAAAAAGTTGTACATTCAATGATTTATTCATCACAAATATCTTCCTTTTTATTTTATTCTTTTCATTGTGATCTTAAGAAAGGTTTACAGAAAGTTTGTTGACTTTTTATAGGTAATTCTCTTGTAATTTTGCTGGTTTTACTATGTGCTGACCTTGGATAATTTTGTGAGTTTTTAAAAAAGTTTCTATCTTCTGATTATATAGGACAATTTTCTAATTGAACACATATTTACATAACACTTAAATAAAATGAAAGACCAGAACATGTACCTATCAACTTCCCTTGAGATATAGATGCCATAGGCAAGTCTCCATAAAAAGTCCAAGGCCTTGAGACAACAAGAGACAACACATTGCACTCTCAAACATTATGATTCAGAACCAATCCAAGGGCAGTAGGATTTCTATGTTCCCCTGACAACTTATAGAGGGTATTCTTATCCTTGGGTTTTTATTTTCTTTTTTTAAAGTGTTTATTTAGTCCTATATGGGTTTTTTAATGGAATTCAATAAACATGAGTGGGAAGATAGTATAGCTTGATCACAGATTGTAACATAAGTGTGGTTCAAGTTTCCTGAAGCAAAAATGAGAGGCTCTATGTTGCTCTGTTGTGTAAAGGAAACTGCCTACTTCCCTCTTCATTCCTGTCTCTGCAAAGTATTCCCCTTGCTCTTGAAGTTCCTCCTGGTCACTGAGCCCATAATCTCAATGACATTCAACAGCCCTCCCTCATAAACTCGAGGTCTACTTTGATGGCATCTGAATTGACTAGTCTGTGAATTCCCACGCTCAATTTTAATTTTACTAAATAATGCACTAGAGGCTTCTTTCTGTGATTTGTTCCTCTCCTGTGTTCTCTGTTTAGAGTATTGCTCAGACCCATCTCAAAATGGCTACAATGAACAAGTCATTGTAATATTAACAGGTGTTTTCTC